TCCCAAGCATTTCCGAACCCTCCACGTTTGTAACAAGAGAAATGCGCCTCTGTGGCGATTGTATGGGGTCGAATTGAGCACTGGTCTACTTCCGACCCTAACATACCATTGCAATCTCTTGATCCAAGCCCTCCCAGTCTATCAGGTGGAGAGGATCCGCGAATATAGAGGTAGTCTAAGTTAGGGGCGACGAACGAGCGTAAATTGACGACAGAGTGAATGAGATACAAACGCCGTAGAGAAGGTATCTCGAAGGGATAACCGTTTGCGTCTCCCAATAGTCCCACCAGCTTGAGCGTGGTCAATTGGCTATGAGAACCATATGCAAATGGGTGCATGATAATGCTGTCTACGTAGAGGTACTTCAAATGAGTGAAGACAACTGGGGGTGGGTTGGCCCGTAGTTTCCACTGGATCTTGGTTACATTTTCAAGGCCTGAAACCAGATCCTTGACAGGTTGGTCAGAGAATAATGAGGTGCCACGGAGCATGCAGCTATCGAGACACCGTAACACCTCTCGTTTGCTTTCATCAAGCTCGAACTCGTTAACGTGAAACAACCCTAGCTTCCTGAGTAGTCGTGGCTTCTTGAGTAGTACATGATTGATAGCTATGTGCATTTCATCGTCGTCACGATCCCAATCTTGAGAAGATGCACCCGCCTTGAAAGATTCGAGGTTTGGAGCATTGTTGATGGATTTTATAAGAGGGGCCGCGAGAACAACTGGGCAGTATACGTTGAGTGACCTGCATCGTAAGTCAATTAAATCTTTGTCGAGCTCTGTATCGTATACATCTGCTTCACGAAAGCAGGTCCGGCACCCTATCACCGTCAGCTCGAACGGGAGTTGTCCTAGCTGGCTGAGCACCTGGTTCATTCGGGATACGGTTTCACATTGAATCCAAACGGCTCTCCAGTATGCTCTCTTGTTACACTCACAACCAAGGTCAGGAGCCAGCAGAATGTCGCTGTACACGATAGACATGCGGTCGACAATCTGACACCATTGTTGGCAAACAAGTTTGAGTGTGAGAGGGGAGAAGATTTTCGATCTATAATAGAGCGTGAATATTTCATCCAGGATTTCCGTGGGTAGATTGTTGATGAGGGCCGTGGTCACACCAGGGTGTTGCGGTAAGCTCTTTGTCGCCATGCGGGAGAGATTTCGACAAGGAACGGGAAAGGTGACGTTCTAGAGGATATCTGAATGAACAAGCGATCTCCCTGGCGTTGCTGCCTTTCGGTGATCTTGCTATTGCCTCCGGTGGTCAGCTCC